CAGGCAGGGCCCTGCACCCAGACCCTCTGCAATAAACCACAAATCCCAGACCTGGCTGCAGAGATCTCCCGTCTCCCTCTGTCCCGACCGTCCCTGCCGCTCCCGGCGCTGAGGATGAAGAGGTGACGCTGTCTGGGCAGGGGCGTGGGCAGTGGGAGCGCAGCAGACCCCGTCACTGCTGTGGGGACCCCCGACCAAAGAAGCTGAGGGTCCCCACAGCGGGAGTGCTGCACCCCAAGAGACCAAGCTCGGACCAGGAGCCCCAGGGCCCAGGCAGCTGGGTGGGATTTACGTGCCCCAAAGGACCTTAGGGACTCCTGCAGGAGCTGCTGGGCCAGGCCAGGGAACCTCCAGCCCTGGACGTGTCCCCTCTGTGGGTGATGCTATGAATAAAAAGTTATCTATTTTTTTTAAGGTTGCAGAGTTAAAACCGGTGGGACCAGTTGCTGTTAAGTTAGCTGCATTGTTAAGAGTTCTTGTTAATTGCCCGTTAATGGTTGGTGATTAGCCATTGTCCTCCTGATGCTTGCCAGGGAGTGACACCTGGACGCGGCAGCACCAGGAGAATGGGAGTGGCATCAGAGCTCGTATGCAGATGAGAAGTGCATTGCACCAAATCTTCCCATTTTCCAGGAAAACCCCTAAAAACAACGAGCCAACACAGAATTAGGGGACCTAGGTGATGTCTAAGGATGGGCTCGAAGTCCAGTGCCTGCTTGGATCCTTTTTGCTTCTCACCCTGACCTCAAAGGATGTTCACTAGGGAGAGGACCCGAGGTGTTGGACAGAAAAGTAGGAATCTGCCAATCTCTCGTGAGACGCAGTCCCCAGCTCTGTCTGCAGACCAGCGGACAAAGCTGCATCATCATCATCATCATCATCCTCCTCCTCTGTGCCACTCCTGGGAGCAGCGGCGGCGTGGGCGCGACCCGTCGGTTTCTCCCCACCTGAGCTGAATCTCTTTAATAAAGGCATTAAAAAGGAGAAAGATCTCCTGCCCATTTATTTCAGGTGACAACGCGTGAAGACCAAAGCCTTCCCTCCAGGGGTGACGGGGTGGGATGGTCGGGATGGATGGACGGAGGGGAGGCAGGGCTGGAATCTGTGGTTTTAAAGAGAGTGGCGAAGAGAAAGAAGGCAAGAGCGTGGTAAAGAGGAGGAAAGAGAGCACGAAAGAGTAAAAGAGAGAGAGCATGAAAGAGTAAGAGAGAAAGCACGAAAAAATAAAAGAGAGAGCGAGCATGAAAGATAAAAGAGAGAGAGCATGAAAGAATAAAAGAGAGCATGGAAGAGTAAAAAAGAGAAAGCAAGAAAAAATAGCATGAAAGAGTAAAAGAGAGAGAGCATGAAAGAATAAAAGAGAGCATGGAAGAGTAAAAGAGAGCAAGAAAAAATAGCATGAAAGAGTAAAAGAGAGAGAGCATATAAGAGTAAAAGAGAGAGCACGAAAAAATAAAAGAGAGACAGCATGAAAGAGTAAAAGAGAACACGAAAGAGTAAAAGAGAGAACATGAAACAGTAAAAGAGAGCATGAAAGAGTAAAAGAGAACACGAAACAGTAAAAGAGAGAGCATGAAAGAGTAAAAGAGAGAGAGCACGAAAAAATAAGAGAGAGCACAAAAGAGTAAAAGAGAGAGAGCTTGAAAGAGTAAAAGAAAGAGCATGAAAGAGTAAGAGAGAGCTTGAAAGAGTAAAAGAGAGAGTGTGAAAGAGTAAGAGAGAGAGAGCACAAAAAACAGAGAGGACGAAGCTCCCTTTACGATACCACAAATCTTCCTCTGTGCTGAATATTCTCACTGGCCAATCTAGTGCAAGACACAAATCCTACAGCATTTACATACAGCCTGTAAGAATCATCACATTACCATACCGCGTTACATTTTAAACCCTAAAAACGACTCCTTGGACCCCTTCTGCCCAGCCAGCAGGGTCTGCTCTGACCCTTGGACCTGCCTGCAGGCAGAGGGGATTGTTCCACCAAAAGGGGATTACCTTCAGCAGCCATGCCTTTGTTTTCCAGTTGTTCAATAACTAAGCTATCTCAAAGCTTGCTTTCATTTCAATCTCGCTTATAGGTCCCATATTCTCAAAATCTTTTGCCAGGCAATCGTATTTATAAGGCTCTCCTGTTTCATCTTCCCCAGCACTCCGCCGAGCTGGAAGCAGCTGCCCAGCCCAGGCCTGAGCCCAGGTGTGTCCCTGCACCCCAATTTCCCCGGTGGATCCCGAGAGGAGCAGCACAAGGGAGGGCTTGAGCAGGGGCCAGGCTGTGCTCCATCAGCTGCAGCTCCTGGCAATCCACAGGAGCCTCTGGAGGCAGAGGCTGCATCTGCCTCTCCGGTTAATAGCCCTCAATCAATTTCTCTGCCACAAATTTGCCTAATGGCTTTTTAAAATCCCTTTAAAATCAACCCGGGGCCCGCTGCAGACGCCCCGTGGCAACGAATTCCGCCGCGTTATCACACCGAGCACTCGCCCCAGGGAAGAGGCAAAGATTCCCCTCGTCCGAGCGGGGCTCCCGGCTGCCTCCCCGTGTGCCGTGGCACACCTGGAAGGAGCAGGCAGCACAGGTGAGCTCTGCTCAGCGCTCCCCAGGGATCGAGGAGGGAGCTGGGCAAGGCAGGAGAGGTGTGGGGAGCCTCTCCCGTGCCCCAGCCCTGCACGGCCCCAGCCCAGGAGCTCTCCCAGCTGAGGAACTGGTTCTGCCCGTCCACACCTCTGCCACCCCTCCCTGTGCCTGCCACCACAGCCGGCTTTGGAGCCCAACCACCCAGAAACTCCAGCGGCATCACAAAACTCTGCCCAGCCACGGTTCATCCCTTTTGGGGGGTGCTGGAGGCGACAAAAGGCAGTTCCACAGCCAGGAGGAGATGGGTGTCACCGGGAGCTGGAGGTGGGAGGGGGTCACGGGGGTGTCACCGGGAGCTGGAGGCAGCCCGGGCTGGGAGGGGGTCACAGGGGTGTCACCGGGAGCTGGAGGCAGCCCGGGCTGGGAGGGGGTCACAGGGATGTCACCGGGAGCCGGAGGCAGCCCAGGGTGGGAGGGGGCCACGGGAGGGCTGCAGGGGCTGTGGAGATGGGGAAAGTGCCTGGGTGTGGCACACGGTTTGTGTTTGGTGGCAACATTTCTATCCCTTGTCCTTGAACTTATTCCCAGACTCCGCTGTGATAAAAGCCAGGGCTTGACTTCCCTTCCAGCCCTGCCTGGCACGCACGGGACAAGGTCACCCACCGTGGTGGCAGCTGGCACCGAGCTGAAACGGGGGCTGGGTGGCCCAGGGGGGGTCACGGGGGGCCTTGGCCAGGGCCAGCTCGGGGTCACAGTGACAGCAGGGACTCACCGAGGTGGGCTCAGACACGGGGCTGCAGCTGGCAGCACCATTCACCCTGGGGACAGTCAGGGCAGCCCAGGTGCTGGCCCAGCAGGACCTGGAGGTGGCACAATGGGACCTGGAGGTGGCACAATGTGACCTGGTGGTGGCTGAGCGGGACCTGAAGGTGGCCCAGCAGACCTGGAGGTGGCCCAGCAGGACCTGAAGGTGGCCCAGCTGGACCTGGTGGTGGCCCAGCAGGACCTGAAGGTGGCCCAGCAGGACCTGGTGGTGGCACAATGGGACCTGGTGCTGGCCCAGCTGGACCTGAAGGTGGCCCAGCGGGACCTGGAGGTGGCACAATGGGACCTGGTGCTGGCCCAGCTGGACCTGAAGGTGGCACAATGGGACCTGGAGGTGGAGGTGGCCCAGCAGGACCTGGAGGTGGCACAATGGGACCTGGAGGTGGCCCAGCAGGACCTGAAGGTGGCCCAGCAGGACCTGGAAGTGGCCCAGCAGGACCTGGAAGTGGCCCAATGGGACCTGGAGGTGGCATAATGGGACCTGGTGGTGGCACAGTGGGACCTGAAGGTGGCCCAGCACAACCCGGTGGTGGCACAATGGGACCTGGAGGTGGCCCAGCAGGACCTGGAGGTGGCTCGGTAGGACCTGAAGGTGGCCCAGCAGGACCTGGAAGTGGCCCAGTGGGACCTGGAGGTGGCACAATGGGACCTGGAGGTGGCCCAGCTGGACCTGAAGGTGGCCCAGTGGGACCTGGAGGTGGCCCAGCAGGATCTGGAGGTGGCCCAGCAGGACCTGGAGGTGGCACAATGGGACCTGGAGGTGGCATAATGGGACCTGATGGTGGCACAGCACAACCTGGTGATGGCACAATGGGACCTGGAGGTGGCCCAGCAGGATCTGGAGGTGGCCCAGTGGGACATGGAGGTGGCCCAGCAGCCCAGGAAACGCCTCCTGCTCCCTTCTGCTGTGCCAGAAGGTGTTGTGTGCCGTACCTGGAGCGCACTTCCTGTGTCACCTCGCCCTGCGGTCCCCTCGGTTAACCACGGCGGCCCGAGCAGCCGCAGCCCGGACGGGGAGGACGAGCCCAAAGCCCGCCAGGCGCCAGTACAGCACGGAAGAAGGGTGGGACAAGGAATGGTCGGGCTAAAAGTAACCGGAGACGGCCAGAAAAAGAAAAAAAAAAAAAAAAAAAAAAGCATCTAACGAGCCAGACTTCTCGGTGGAATGAAAACATCTGCTAGGCGCCGGGTGGGGGCTGGTACGCACCTCTCGGGGAGCCCAGGGCCCGGCGAGGGGATCCCCCCCCGGCACTGGAGCAGGGGCTACCGGGGAAGATGCCGCGGTGGCCCTGGCACGTCCAAGGCAGGGTGGGACCCCCGAGATGGGGCTGGAGGGGGCAGCGCCGGGGGGAGGCTGGGCTGGGCAGCAGCAGCGGCAAGGGACGGGCCCGGGAAGGGGCTCCGAGGGGTGGGACAAGCCCCGGGGCCCCGGGAGGGGGCAACCGGCGGCTGCTGAGGGGGCGGGGGGAAGGACACGGGCACGGACACGGACACGGACACGGACACGGACACGGACCCGCACCGGAGGGCCCCGGGGCGGGTCGAGCCCGGCGGCGCATCCCGGTGCGGGGGCTGCCGGGGGTGCGGGAGCTACCGGGGGTGCGGGGGGTGTCGGGGCCCCTCCCGGCGGGGCGGGGCGTGCGCGGCCGCACGTCCGGAGCGGGGCGGGACGAGACCGGGCCGGCCCCGCGCGGCACCGGCAGAGCGCCGTGGGGCTCGGGGGGGTGCGGAGCCGTGCGGTGCGGCTCGGCTCTGCTCGGCTCTGTTTCGCTCCCTTCGCCTTGGTTCCGCTCGGTTCGGCGCGCATCAGCTCGGCTTGACGTGGTTCGGAGCGGATCGGGTCGGACTAGAGCCCGGCACAGCCCGGCACAGCCCGGCACAGCTCGGCACAGCCCGGCACCGACGTGGTTCGGAGCGGATCGGAGCGGATCGGGTCGGACTAGAGCCCGGCACAGCCCGGCACAGCTCGGCACAGCCAGCAGAGCAAGGATCGCGGATCGCGGCGGGGATGGCGGTGCCGGAGCCGGACGCGCGGCTGGCGCAGGAGAAGGAGGAGGAGAGCGAGGAGGAGAGCGAGGTGCTGGAGGAGAGTCCCTGCGGCCGCTGGCAGAAGCGCCGCGAGCAGGTGGGAGCCGTGGAACGCCGGGCAGGGGGGCGCCGGGAGGCGGGATGCGGATGCCGGGGGATGAGGATGAGGATGGGGACGCCGGGCCCTGCGGGGCCGCGGGCTGTGCGGGGCTCGGGCAGCGCCCGAGGGTGCCCGGGGCACGGCGGTGGCCGCGGCCGGGGGGCGATGCGGGGAGCGAGTCCCCGGGGGGAGCCCGGTGCGGGGAGCCGGGCTCGGTCGTGCCCGGCTCGGGGTGTCTGGGTGCGGGGAGCCGAGCCCGCCGTGTCTCGGTGTGGAAAGCCGAGCCCGCCGTGTCTCGGTGCGGGCTGTGCTGGTGTGGAAAGCCGAGCTCGCCGTGTCTCGGTGTGGAAAGCCGAGCTCGCCGTGTCTCGGTGTGGAAAGCCGAGCTCGCCGTGTCTCGGTGTGGAAAGCCGAGCCCGCCGTGTCTCGGTGCGGGCTGTGCTGGTGTGGAAAGCCGAGCTCGCCGTGTCTCGGTGTGGAAAGCCGAGCTCGCCGTGTCTCGGTGCGGGCTGTGCTGGTGTGGAAAGCCGAGCCCGCCGTGTCTCGGTGCGGGCTGTACCCCTGCGGGGCCCGGGCTCGCCGTGCCCGGGTGCTCGGGCACCGGGCTCACCGTGGGCTCGGGCACCGGGCTCACCGTGGGCTCGGGCACCGGGTTCACCGTGGGCTCGGGCACCGGGCTCGCCGTGCCGGCCGTGGGGAGCCGATCTCATCGCGTGGCTGCTGGTGGGGGTCTCACCGTGCCCTGCTCTGGCGTGTCTGGGGCAGCAGTCGGGCTCCTCGGTGCTCCCTGTGCCCCGAGCTGGGCTCGCCGTGCCCCGGTGTGGAGAGCGCCCCGGGGCAGCCCGGGCCCGTCCCGCGGCTCCGGTGCCCGTGGGATCGGCCGTGCTGGAGCTGCTGGAGGCTCCCGGAGGGTTCTGCCGCTCCGGGTCCCGGAGCTGTGCCCGGTGCCAGCCCCACGGCTGGCAGCACGGTGACCCCGCAGCTCCTGCGGGAGCGGGGACTTGCCGGGACTTGGGGTGTCGGGGCTGCCCTCGGAGCCACCCCCAGGGCTGGAGAGCGCGGTTCCTCCTCTCCAGAGAACGGGCTCAGGCTGCAGCATCAGGAGTGCCTTCCCAAAAACGGGGCTGGAGTCCCCCTGTCCCTGCCAGGGCCCCCAGGAGCAGGGAGCAGAGCCGGGGGGTGAATCCCGGCCCCAGGCAGGGGCTGGGGCACAAACATGCCCCAGGCACTGAGGGGAAAGGCCCATCCAAGGCCAAACCCTTTATCTGCCCCTTATCTCCCCTGTCCCCGCTGAGGGAGCCGGCCCCAGCCTTGAGCTCGGCCTGGGCTTTGCTGCGATCTTGATAGCCTGCTCCTGGCTGATAACCGGCTCCTGGCTGATAAGCTGCTCTGCCCCCGTGTCCCTCGGTGCTGCCAGGTGCTACCACACCCACACACCCCCTTCCCCCCCGTTCCTGCTGCCTCTCCCTCTCTGGAAGTCACCTTCCCCCCACCGGCGTGCCTGACCCCGACCCTGATGAAACAGAGGATATTGAGGAGCTGGAGCGTGTTCAGAGACAGGAATGGAGCTGGGAAGGTCTGGGGGAGCTGGGCAGGGGCTCAGCCTGGAGAAAAGGAGGCTCAGGGGGGACCTTGTGGCTCTGCACAGCTCCTGATAAGAGGGGACAGCCGGGGGGGTCGGGCTGTGCTCCAGGGAACAGGGACAGGACAGAGGGAACGGCCTCGGGCTGGGCTGGGGAGCTCAGGGTGGGATGTTGTGAAAACTCCTTCGGTCTGTTCTGGCCAAACAGCGACGTTTAATGGTGAGGGTTTCAGTGCCAAACAGCGATGTTTGATGGTGAGGACTTCAATGTTTCATGGTGATGGTTTCAGTGCCAAACAGTGATGTTCAATGGTGAGGATTTCAGTGTTTAATGGTGAGGATTTCAATGCCAAACAGCCATGTTTAATGGTGAGGGTTTCAGTGCCAAACAGAGATGTTTGATGGTGAGGATTTCAGTGTTTAATGGTGAGGATTTCAATGTTTAATGGTGAGGATTTCAATGCCAAACAGAGATGTTTAATGGTGAGGATTTCAGGGTTTCAATGCCAAACATAGATGTTTAATGGTGAGGATTTCAGGGTTTCAATGCCAAACAGAGATGTTTAATGGTGAGGATTTCAATGCCAAACCGCCATGTTTAATGGTGAGGGTTTCAGTGTTTAATGGTGAGGATTTCAATGTTTAATGGTGAGGATTTCAATGCCAAACAGAGATGTTTAATGGTGAGGATTTCAGGGTTTCAATGCCAAACAGCGATGTTTAATGGTGAGGATTTCAATGCCAAACAGCAATGTTTAATGGTGAGGATTTCAGGGTTTCAATGCCAAACATAGATGTTTAATGGTGAGGATTTAGATGTTTAATGGTGAGGATTTCAGGGTTTCAATGCCAAACATAGATGTTTAATGGTGAGGATTTGAGGGTTTAATGGTGGAAGTTTCAATGTTTAATGGTGAGGATTTCAGGGTTTCAATGCCAAACAGAGATGTTTAATGGTGAGGATTTCAATGTTTAATGGTGAGGATTTCAGGGTTTCAATGCCAAACAGAGATGTTTAATGGTGGGGGTTTCAATGTTTAATGGTGAGGATTTCAGTGCCAAACAGCCGTGTTTAATGGTGAGGATTTCAATGTTTAATGGTGAGGATTTCCACGCTGATTTGTGCAGGAGCTCTCTGGAGCAGCCCTGCCATGCCCAGACCTGGCCCGGGTGGGGGTTCATCCTCCTGTGCAGGCATGGGACAGGTGGGAACCCCCAGAGCCACCTCCACACAAGTGCCGTGGCTCTCGGTGCCCTCCATCCAGAGGGATTTTCCAGCTGGAGCGGCAGGAAGGCTGGGCTGGCCTTCCCAAGGGCAGCACAGCTGCTCCAGGAGTGGCAGGAAGGCTCCTTGCTCGCCGAGCGGAGGAAGCTCTGTGCAGATTCCCAGATGTTCCGTGACGTGCGGGAAGGAGCCGGGCGCTGGAGATCCACTCTGCTCCCGCTGCCCTGGGCTCTGCTGGGCTCTGTGCCCGCGGGGAGCTTCCCCGGCTCTCCTGGAGTTCCACCGGCGTTATTCATTCCCCCAGTCGGTTTGCCAGAGGGGTCCAGCCCCAGTGTGGGACCCTCGGAGCTGCGGTTTGGAGGGCAGGGCCATCAGGGTGTCCTGGTGGGCAGAGCTTGGGCTGGGAGCCTGGGATGCTGGTACAGCAGTGTCCTGCCTGACCCGGGGGGCTCAGCCTGGAGAAAAGGGGCTCAGGGGGGACATTGTGGCTCTGCACAGCTCCTGACAGGAGGGGACAGCCCGGGGGTTGGGCTGTGCTCCAGGGAACAGACACAGGAAGAGAAGGAACGGCCTCAAGCTGGGCTGGGGAGGTTTGGGTGGGATATTGGGGAAATCCCTCCTGGAAAGGGCTGCCCAGGGCAGCAGAGTCCCCACCCGGGGGGAGATTTCCCATCCCTGGGGGCGTGGTGCCTGGGGACATGGGGACATGGGGACATGGGGACATGGGGACATGGGCTGGTGGTGGGCCAGGATGGACTCGGTGGGCTCAGAGGCCTTTCCAACCCGAACCATTCCATGGTTCCGTGGTTCAGGGAAGCGATGTATTGACATTGTTGTGCAGGGGTGGTGTGGACGCAAGGACTGCACCTTGTCCTCGCACACGGGGCTGTGCCGGGCCTGCCCTGCCCCCGGGAGGGATCTCCCTTCCCACTTTGCCTCTTTGTGGCCCTTTACCCCTCGGGGACATGGGGTGCAGGGTGCCACGGGCAGCTCGGGCAGCAGCAGCCCTCGGGCAAGGCATGGGGAGGAGCAGCTCCTTGAGGTGGCCCTGGAGGTGTCCCAGCCCTGCCCGGCCCCTCTCAGAGCTCTCCTGCTGTTTGTGAGCTGCTGCTGGCACAGAATTTCCCCCGTGGGAGCACCGGGGCTCTCTCAGCCTTGCCTCGATGACCTCATTTGCTTTTCCCACCCACCCTGGGGATTACGAGCAGAAGGGAGAAGAAAACGTGGTTTTCTGCTTTCCTGGGAGGTTTGGTGCCTCTGCTGGGGTGAGCAGCTCGTGCTGGGCTCACTCTGGCTTTTCCCTGCTGGTTTGGGTTCCCAGACCCTCCATGTGCCCGGGAATGGGGGCTGTGACCAGCAGGTGTTTGCTGCTCCCACCACGTCCATCTGTCTGTTCGTCCGTCCCATTTCCTGGGCTCAGGGTGTGGTTTCCACACCCTCCCCCTCACCTCTCCCACCTCTGCTCCCTGCGGGAATGCCCTGGAGCAGCTCTGGGCTCCTGCAGCCCTTCCCTTGGGATGGGAGAGCTCAGCTGTGGCTCATGGACGCAACTTTGGAGCTGTTCCTATGGCTTGTTCCTCGAAGCCACCCTGGAATTGTCCCCTGCTCCTGACTCTGCTGCTGCTTCCAGTGGGGGATTTGCTTGGGAGCAGCCTTGGGGTTCCGAGAGGGAGGGGATGGGGCACCCAGAGGGACCGGGGTGGGACGGGATGGGATGGGATGGGATGGGGTAGATGCTGGGATCTCAGTCACTGTGTGCCCAGCAGAGCAGCTGTAGCCATCACAGCCATCACTAGGGTGGCTGAGGTGGTGGTAATGTGGCCTGGGAGGTTTTCTGTGCGAAGGAGGGCTCTGTTCTCCCAGAGGAGGAACTGTGCCACTGAAAGCGAGGGATCTGGATGGGATGGGATAAGATGGGATGGGATGGGATGGGGGATCCAGAGGGACTGGGATGGGACACCCAGAGGGAGCTGGATGAGATAGGGACACCCAGAGGGAGCTGGACAGGCTGGGGAGGGGGCACTGAGCAATCCCTGTGCACCTGGTGGGGCCCCAGCACAGACACAGCGTGGGGAAACTGCCTGGAGGGAATCCTGGGGTGCTGGGAAAGGCTGCACGTGCTCTGGCCACTGGGGTCCCACAACCCCCCATGCCCCTTTCCCAGCAGGAAAGGAGGGGGGGTTCTGCCCC